CTTTTTGGCTCCTACCTCAAAGCACACTGTGCGCTGTCGATCTTACGTGCTGCACAATAATGTTTAATATTTAGTATTTACTGTTATATTCCCATAGATCATCATGATGTTGTTTATTATGTTGCTCTTTTTTTTCTTCTGCTTGTTTTCTCTTTTTTCTTTCTCAACAGGTGATCCAAGTGATTGATTTTTTGTCTGCTTATTTTGTTGGTTTTTGTTTTTTGCCCTTTATCCCCGTCTCTCTTCCCCGCTGTTTTTCCCCTCTTTCTTTCTCCCCTTTCTTTTCCCCAGTCAAGTCTGTCCCGTATTTACCAAGTGAAAATGAAATAAAATAAACAATAAAAGGTGAATCAAATAGACCATTACGGCAAGGCTGGGATGGTCCATTTGGTAAAGTAAATCCGTTGGGCATCTTTCTTCGCCTTTAGACAATAATTCTGATGGCAAAAGATCCAAATGGGACAGGAAAAAAAAGGAAGAAAAAAAAGAATGATTTTGTTTTGAGTCATTGAAACAGTTGGAACAGTTTCCAAAAAACTTGCCAGTCTCCAATGAATCCTTGCACTAATTAGACTCATTAGGCTCAATCCAGCGTAGGCCAGACAGTTTCATAAACCTGATCTTGTTTTTGACAGGCTGCAGCAAAGTGTCATCATGTGTGCCTGTGTCAGCCAGTCGAGTGTATGGTAAGAAGCATAGTGTGTTACCACGTGCTTGCGTGCACTGCTCAGTGCTGTCAGAGAGTCCACAGTGAAAGGTGTGATCTTAAGTGTGATTTTTGTGCTCAGAGTGAAATAATCACACTTTTCCCAGTGGTCACACTTGTCAATCAGATGTCTTAAACTTACATTTTAGGGGTCACTTCACTGATGTCAATGCTATAAATACATTTTTAGATGTTTTTAATCATATAGATGGACAAATTATAAGGCAAAAGGTGCATAAAAAAAGGAAGTCAGAGGCCCCCTGTGAACAGACACAGGCTTCTCTTAGTACTTTTAAAAGCTTGTACGGTATCCATGGTGTAAAAGTGCAACTTCAATGTTTGGTTCAAATCGTAAAATAAGAGGGTTTCTGACTTTGTCAATAACCACACATGGTCTACACTAATAAACATTCAAAACTGGCACCACAGAGAACCTGAGTGTGTGGCTCACAGCACATTGGCGGATGGAAGCTGCCCAGCGTGCAATAATGGTGCACCCAGTGATACCTTAGGAATCCCCCAGCATGTCAAGCAGTACCCAGCTCAGCCACACAGCAGTCTGTTTTACCTGATGTCCTGTAGTAGGAGATATGGGACTGAGGAACTTTTTTCCCCCCTATAAGACAGAAAACTGTTTAGTAAATAACACACACACACACACACACACACAAACGCACAAATCAATACATGTTAAATTTAAGTGTAACCCCAGTGTAGTGGATTTTGTATGTATTCCACTGTTTTCTGTTCCCTTTTAATACGTTTTATTATTTCTTAATTTATTTACTTAATGTGCATATGTATTGTTTTGTTTTTTTAATGCATTTCAATGGATCCTTCCGCCTTAAGTTTTTTACAGGATTGTACTTGTATAACACTATACAACAAAATATTCTAGTTTTCTTGTTTGTGGGCAGTATTTTACAGTAACCAGAGTATTTATTTTTCTAGTTGTCGATCAGTCTTCTCTAAACCTACTAGCTGACTCATCGCCTGAGCTGCTGTAACACTGGTCTTACAGATTAAGTGTTTTGAAAGTTGTTAGTGGGTTTCTAAGTGGAAAAGCTGGGATGCGCCTTCAAAATTCCTGTTATGTGTTGACATTTAACGAGTGGGCACAGACTTGTGCATGCTATTAGGCAGTCTAATAACTAAGCGTACGATGGGAAGAACATGTGCTGTTAGCTCCAAATGTTCAAAGACAACACAGTCGTGAGCGGTCCTGCCCATTTGAGCGTGTGAAGCTTAGCCAGAATCACTCTGAGCAATCAATGCTAATAACTTACTAGTATGCCTGCGTGCAAACAGATTGTTAACTAGTGAGATGAGAGTGGAGATGGCAGGAGACATGATGGGATCTGCGCCCTCATTACTAACAGAAGCTTATTAAATTTAAGCCTCATCAGTTATGTTTTGTTCCTAGCTCGAAGGAGAAAGTACAACCACAGGTTCTGCATCTGAGCCTACCTTTCTGTGTGGAATTTGTAAGTTTCCTTGTGTTTATGTGGATTCCCTGGCTACTCCAGCTTCCTTCCTCAGTTCAAAAACATGCATGTTAGGATTCTGCATTTATTTTTAAAGTGTGTGCCTGTACATCTTTCTGTTGATTTGCTCGAGGTATACCTCACCTCACGCCCTGTGATAGGTAGCTCTTAAAAATGTCAAACATCCAGTGAGCGGCAATTCTTCACATGGATAAGTGATGTTGATGAGAGGTTAGAGGAGAACGTGTGCACATGCTCTGAAAAACTGAACTGCTAAAGAGTGGAAAAAGCTTGGATTAAAAAAATCTGTCTTTGGCCTGAGGCGTGCAGATGGTGAGCTCAGAGAAGAACATCATGGACCCAACCTGCCATGAGTCAACAGTCCAGGCAGCTGCTGCTGGTGTAATGATATGAGGAGTGTTTTCATGGTAGTTAGTGTTTGAAAGTTAGCGTAGGTGCTTTTATTGCCACAGTTTACCATCTTGTAATAGTCCATTAAAAAAAAGCCATCTCCAACTGGTTTCATGAACATGACAGTGAGGCCATTTTGCTTAATTTGCCTTTTCAGTAGACTTGTAGTCAAGACCGCCTAGACCAAGACCAAGACAGACAGAGTCAAGACCAAGACAAAGTCGAGACGAGACCGAGACAAAAAAGTCTTTAAACTGCAGCCAGATGCTGCTTCGTTTACGGGTGTCAGGCATATTTATCTGTTTTTGCAATGCACTCGCACAGCCCTCCTCACCGCTGTCTACTGTCTCCCTCACTTACTAAGTAGACAGACACACGCTCCACTTGACTGTCGCGTCTCTCACCCTCTGTTTTTCACATAATGATATTATCCTATATCCTCGCATGTGATTGGCCACAATATGGAGGGAATTGGAGCATAGCTGAGCCACTGTGTGACAGCTGAGCAGCAAAAGGAAATTAAGTGAGGAGCCGGCTCTCGCTCAATGGGAGTCGACTCTTCTGATTCACTACAAAGCGCTCTCTAAGCACGGCTCTTAGAGCTGGTGCTTTTGCGCATGACACATTATCGAACGTTACGTTGTGTGTCGATCCAAGACAGCAAGACTGAGACAACGAGACCAAAACAAGACCGAGGAATCCGAGACCAAGACAAGACCAAGACCAAAGTCCGTTGAGACCAAGACAAGACCAAGACCACGTAAAAATGGTCTCGAGACCACATCCAACTCTTTTCAGTCATTTGATCTGAATCCATAAGACACTTTTTGAGTGTGGTAGAACTGCATATTACTGGTACGAGAGTGCAGATGATGAATGAACAGAAATGATGGGATGTAATATGACAACAGGAAACAGAAACTCATGAATCCATGCCTATGAGAACTGAGGCTGTTTAAGAGTACAACAAGTAACAGCATACTGTGCCTAATAAAATTTATATGATCCTAAATTACACTCTTTAGTTATGCAAGCACCAATTGGTTAATGTTCACTCACAGCCACTTCATTAGGCACATTACATAATTAGGTGCAATCACATGAGAGCAATTCACTACTCATAGGCATGTAGACATTTTCAAGATGATCTGTTGAAGTTCAAGCATCAGAATTGAGAAGAAATGTGACTTAAGTGACTTTGAATGCAGTATAGTTGTTGTTTCCAAACAGAAAATATGCAGTGAGCAGCAGGTCTCTCAGAAAAATAAATCCTCTTTTATGCCAGAGCTCAGATGAGATCTAGACTGCTTTGAGCTGATAGGAAGGAAACAGTACTAACTCCTATAAGTACTGGTAACAACCAAGGCATGCAGAAAATCATCTTAGCACAGTGAATGGAACAGGCTTGAGAGACTTGAGATAAGACTACACTGGGTGCCACTCTGGTCAGTAAGAACTGGAAACAGGGGCTATAACGCACACAGTCTCACAAAAATCGGACAATACATAGAAGACTGGAAAAACACAGACTTGTCTGGCGAGACTCATCAGAATTTGGCATAAACATGAAAAGAAAAGAGGAATCCATCTTCCTTATGTCAACAGATCAGGGTGTGTAGGTTGTGTAATGGTTTGGGGGAAAACTTTGTTCCCATTAGTAGCAGCTGAGCATCTTTTTAAATCTTTATAAGTTTAAAAAGAATCTTAAATTGGTTTCTTGGTCATGAAAATGAATTTACTGTATGCAAATAGCCTCCGCAGTCATCAGATCTCAATCCAATAGAGCACCTTTGGGATGGGATACAACAGGACATAGGCCTCATGTAATAACAAGAAGAAGAAGAAGAAGAAGAAGAAGAAGAAGAAGAAGAAGAAGAAGAAGAAGAAGAAGAAGACATGGGATATTTTTGCAAGACACTTGGATAATTATTAGCTTAAATCATTCATTTGTTTTGACTAAGTAACTCAACTTGGTGCATAATTTAACACAAAGGTTTCTGTAAGTACCTTATATGTTCTGAATGTAACAAACTACATGTTACTATGCAACTCAATTCTAAATCTTTCACATGCTGTGACTGTGTGGAAGTCAAAGATGTTTTCTAACAACCAAGCAAAGTGTCTGTCATAAAAATATTTTTCTAATTACTAATCTGTTGTTTTCAAAACATGCCATTTCCAAAGCTCCCGAACGTTTACACTTTTAAAAAGGCTCCAAAACTCCCAAACATTGTTTGGTTGTTATGGCTGGCTGCTCTAAATCTTGACTCATCTCTCAAAGATGGCCTAAACAGTAGAAACACTACTTTAATATACATACTGTTGTCTAAAATAGGTTATCTTACTGCTTCTTCCTATTTTCTTTTTAATCAAAAAAAGTTACAATAATCATACTAACAGGGATGGCTTTTGTTTCAGATGAGTTGCCTCTGACAAAAGCTTTTAATGTGATTTGAGCAGATGGCGACATTTGTTTTGGGGGATGCACCCTAATGTGTGTTACAGTATGAAGACATGCAGATGCTCTATCAGAGAAACAACGCACGAGATGTTCAGAGTAAACCAAAGCTGAGTCTGGAGGACTCTAAGAACAATCAGCTGTCCTGGTTTCACAGCTGGAGAAAACTTACTCTGAACTAACCAGGTATAATCCTGGATCAAACTTTAATCAGTGACCATTAGGTACACCACATGTCTAGTCTGCTTCTTGAATCAGATCACCTGTATAATGAACAAGAAAAAGTAGAACTACGTTCAACATACAGCAGAGAAAATACTTGGATTGAGACAGATCAGGATGGTGACCTTAAACTTCTTTGGAATGAGGTGTAAGATGTGAAGATACTGTGAAATGAGAGGGAGGTGTAGCTATGAATGACAGAGAAACAGGAAACTATCTTGAAAAGGATGCAGACAAAAAACATGTCACACTTGATATAAAAAGAAGAAATCCTTGACACAGCTGAATGTAAAACAAACAAACAAACAAACAAAACCCCTTTAAGTAAATTTCCGTTCTTTACCTATAAATCCACATAATTATCATTGAATAGTTCATTTAAAGTTAGTCCTGAGTTCACTGAACTTTAGAGTTAAAGGCAGTGAACTTGTAGATTCTTGTGACTTATCTTACACTGTGAAACCTAAATATTGGCGAGTACTCTAATAACTTCACAGTGTACCTTAATACACATACTGATTTCAGTGAGTAACCAATAGAACCTTGTTCTAATGACCGGAGCTTGACTAATAATTCTGATGTGAATCTAGTGGGAAGTGTAACAGCTTTTTAGATTTTAAGCACTGTTACCTCACAGTGAGTGAAGCTGGGGCATTTCTGTGTGGAGTTTGCATGTTCTCCCCATGTTTGCGTGGGTTCTCTCATAGGTGTGAATGTGAGTGTGAATGGATGCCTATCTCTCTGTGTTAACCCATCCGGCGTTTACTCGGGATAAGGATAATTAGGAAGAGAAAGGCTAGATTGATGGGTTAAACAATAAATATGCAATGCCAGGGGTTCACTCCCTGCTTTCTGTTTATGACTACCAAATAACAACAATGTAATGTACATCATTCAGCACACAGGGGTCTGCACTGCCCCCCTATGGCCTTTAGATTCAACAGCAGCTCTTATACTGAGGTGATCGGTGATTTGGCTGATTTCACGTGTTTCCACTGAAAAGTGGAGTTTACATGTGGTGGACATTTGCTGCAAAAGAACTACAGATGTGTTAACAGAAGTCAATCAAACACACCCATGCAGAGCTGAATTCACATCCAAACTGCCAAACTCTTTTTTGCTGACATTGACAAATAAAAATGCTACTCTATCTGGTGTTTTTTCAGTCTAATGACTCTAATGATGTTGACAACATCAACTCAGAATGTTTTTGTTTTTATAAGTAACACAGAGCCACAGAAACTACTCAACACACAAAACAGGAAATACTTGCTGGAAACATAAATACTTCATTTAAAAAGAAAACAACATTCACACTCTACAAGAGGAGTGTGTCTTGGCAAAGAAACACTGATGCAATAAGGCATGGTTTATTTGGTCTTCTTGCCTTTGCCCTTTCCTTTGTCCCTTTTGGCCTTTTTGCTTTTGGCCTTGTTCTTTAAGGCCTTGCGAACGCTGTAGCCTCTCCACCAGGCCTGGATCAGAATGGCAGCTTTGGTCTTCAACTCCAGCTCTCTGATCTCCTCCTGTCTCTTCTCTTCAGCCAGCCGCCTCCTCTCCTGGATCTGATTGTACTCCATCTCCAGGGTAGCAAAGGGTTTCTCAAACTTCTTCCGCTCATTGTCCTCCATTTCATAAGCATTTTCATTCACCTCCAGTTTGGCCTAAGAAAGGTGATGGTGGCATTGGGGGTGTGTTGTGTCAAAAGTGGAGAAGAGGGAGATGGCAGTGGATATGGTTGTGGAGTGAAGAAAAAACAGAAAAGTGGTGAAAATATAAGAAATGCTTTGACTGACACTGAGCATCCTTAATTTACTAAGGACATAAAAAGGTAACAATGACCTAAAAGAAAACCCAGGACAACACCTTTATTTCCAGATGTTATACAAGAGTAAATACAACAGTTCTGGATTTTAAAGCATAGAAACTTGGATGTTATTTTATATGCTGTGATAGAGCAGATCATGTATGCCACAGTATCCTTGGGCAAGATTATGAACCTAAGTTGTTTTGAGTGCTCAAGTAGAAACGTTATATATAAGAACCAGCTGATTTACCAATTACAAAGAGCTCATAGAATAAATATAAGTTTTATGTGTAAAATTGAAAATTAAATGTGTAAACACTTTCCTCATTGGATGCTTACTAGGGGTAACCATTGTTTTTCTTTTCTGAACTGAGTGGTTTCAGGCCTGCTTCCTGAACAAACTGACTGGGATTGTTCTCTATACAGGAACCTATTCTAATGGTCATCAAACTACATCTTTATTGATATAACCTTAGGTGTCAAAACTTGTCATTAAGTGTACAGGGCTGTCACGTGTTAATATTGAGCTGGTACTGTACTGTAAATACAGTAAATGTCACAACTTTGCATGGATTAGCCAGGATACTGTGGCATACAGTTTACCCAGTTTATTGTGAGGTGTCACATACTGTGCAACTGTGATAACCTTAACATAATATTTTAGGGACATATTCTGAATATAGTAATGAGTAATAAGTTTGTAGAAAGACCCCATGTTAATATTTTACAGACTATTTCTGGTACTTTGCAGTGGAATGTTTGTACCTGGATTTCTCCTATTTCGTTGTCAAACTTTTGGATTAAGGAGTCAATTTTTCCTTGCATCTTTTCATTTTTCTGCCAAAAAACAAGAACAGTGAACATGAGTTTAATGAAAACCAAATACACTACCACAAGTAAAACATGAAACCTTATTGTTACACTAAACGTACCTCTTGGAGTAATCTCTCAGCCTGTCTGTTCTCAAGCACAACATTTTTGAGCTGAATTTTCAGTTGATCAATTTCCTGCTGTAAACGGTCCTGCTTCAGCTTTGACACCTGAATGTGTGCCTGCACCTGTTTGTCTTCAAAAGGCGACATGTTATCATCTGACACATCACCTTCTTGAGGGCTGCACGCCTGCAGCAAACTTTCCAAGTGTTTGATTGTGTTCTCTTTCTGGGAAATCTGTGATGTCAAAAGCAATGGATAGGAGGTGAGAAGATGGAAAAAATGAAGATTCTGCTTCTCTAGCTGCTAATGAAAAAGCCTTGACACCTTACCTCAGCATCTACTTGCTGTATAGCTTTAGCTACTTCTTCTTCCTCCAGTGAAATATTTTTCTCCAGATCTTTTGCAGAGGATGAAAACTCTTTCTGCTTTGTGATGAGCTGTAGCTCCTCGTCCGGGCTGATCAGAAACTTTTCTACCATGTGGCTATGAAGCACCTTTAATCCTTTAATTAATTTGTACTCCTTTTCCTCTATTTTTATATCTAGTTCCGCCCTCAAGCCAATAATGCCATCTGAATGGGCTCGGCAATAACGGAGAATATCCCTGACAGAGTTCTTGAGATCATTCCCAAGCTGAGCTCTCTCCTTCTCTCCTCCGATCCTGTCATCTCTTATTTGTTCTTCAACGGACTCCTGTTTGAGACTTTTTAGTTTCTCCAGTCTTTCCACTACAATCCGATGTTTTTCAAGTGCCTTGCTCAAGTCCTTGTCAACAATCTCAGACTTACTGTTAAGGTGGAGGAGAGTGGGCAGAGCTGCTGCGGTCTCAATTTTACTGATGCAGTTTTCAAGTGTACTTAAAATAATATGAGCCTCACTAGAGAGGTGCTTGCTCTGTACCAAGCAACCATCTTCTGACTGGCTGTTTGGCACCAATGCAAACCAATCTTCAGACATGTCAACACTCAGTGGCTTCGACTGGGAAAAAAAAAAAAGAAGTCTGGTTTTGTCTACAGTGTCTTAGCTTTTGATAAAGGCAGTGTGTTCTATGAATGAATTTAGCACGAGTTCGTATATTTCACTTTACTCTATATGTCACACTTACTTGTGTTAAATCAGAAAACGAATTTTAATATTAGACAAAGACAACCAGACTAAATAAAAAAAATGCAATTGTTAAATGATGACTTAATTTATTAAGGGACAAAAAAGTATGTAATCATGTGATTAAAACATTTTTGGAAAGCTCAGTTTACTTTCACTAACTTGTCGGATTACTGTCAGACCTGCTGAATCAAGAAATCGCTTAAACAAAACTTGTCTGACAATGTATTTTACACATAAGAGAAGTTACTTTTCTATCTCAGTTTTAGTCTAAAGTCACGGGCTCTTTGTGAAGTACTGTATCGGTTTTATTTTATACCTGGTAAATTAATTTTCTTATTAGCGAGCCAGTTAAGTATCTATAGTACTGTGAGTACTAAACGCTCTAAACTACACATCGTAAATTTAAAAAATGAAAAGGTTGTTCTCGGTTTTTGTTTGCTTGTGGCACATAAGCAGCTTTTACTTTAGTTGTGTAATATACAAAGTTAGCTAAGCTACATACCTGTAGACGTCTCTCAGTAAGTGTATGGGTTTTATTTGTTTTCCTGTTGCTAGGATACCAAATAGCCATTTACCGCTTCAGCATTGGATCATATTACAGATTGCTTATGTTGACAAAATATACACACACATATATATGAATACTTTACCACATTTCAAACAAATTCATACAGGTATTAGCTTTAAATTAATATACTATGATGTGTTAAAATTGCCGACTTTTACTTTGGAAATATGCATGGTCACTTACTTAGCCTGCCGTTAACTGCTGCTAGTGTCGTAAAAGTTTGTTTATCCAGTTCTGCCCATAAGTTGTAGGTATCTCTAGAGTTTTTGCGGCGTCGTTCTTGTACATAATGTTGCTCTCAAAAAGATAAAGCTAGACGTCAATTAGCTGTGAGTGGTTATCCGTTCTATGTGTAATCAAATTAGTTGTGTAGCTGTGCGGAAATGGTGCTGCCGCGATGGACCCAGACGGACAGCTTATTAGCCTGCGTGACAGCGAGACAGTTAAATCGGAGAGAGATATTTGTGACAAGGAAGACACCAAATCTGTAAGCTCCCCAACCCCATGTCTGTGTAGCATACTGTAAAAGGCGCTAGAGCCTGTTTTTGACTATTCTACTATCGATATTTGAACTTGCATATAACACAGGATAGAAACTGTTCGGTTTGTCTGCTAATATCTAACCCTGCCGTCCGTCCTCAACAAGATGTGCAGTTCTACTGCTGTTTGCGGAGAAAACCTTACACTTATTTAGCTGTTTGGTAGCTGTGATTAAGTCTGACAAAAAGGTGGAATTCCAAGCAGGTTGCAGTCTGTTTATCTGCTAGCTAGCATGGAGACTGACGACGATGTGCCTCTCATCTTAACCTGGGACGAAGCAAATAGTGGTCTGCTCAGCGAGGAGCCTGAAAGAGGAGACGAAAGTAAGTCTATACAGTGATATCATCACATACCTCTGTAGTCAAGCAATGCAAACAATGTACATGTACACCAAGGAAAGGAACATGATCGGGGGAAGTGGTTTGGTGTCTCTACTGTAATGCTGTCGCAGTAGACATACAAGTAATACACAGATCCCATTGAGAAAGCACACCCGGCCAAAACTAATGCACTCCTGTGTAACACCTGTGTAATAATCCCCACCTTTAAGAAGGCTGTGGTGTTGGGGGTTCGTTCACCCCCAACATTTTAAATACACTATTAGGGTCAAAATTACAACACACCCAAGTTTCTAAGATTCAATAAGTTAAATCACTACTTCTGTACAGGTTCAGTCTGCTTCTTCTTCTTTTGGCTGCTCACTTCATAGGTCACCACAGCAGATTATCTCCCTCTATCTCACCCTATTCCTACATCCTCCTTTGTCCCGGCAACCCTCTCTTTTTGTCTACACCCTTGAATCTTCTCTGTGCTCTTCCTCCTTTTCACCTGCCTGGCAGCTCCATGTTCAGGATCCTTTGTTAAATACATCCACTATCTCTCCACTGTACCTTGCCCCTTGAAGTTTGTCTCCTAAGCCCACCGCCTGATCTGTCCCTCTGATATACTCATCTCTAATCCTGTCCATTCTGGTGACTCCTAATCAAAACTCTGCCACCTCCAGCTCTGCCTTCTGTTTTTTTGTCACAGCCACTATTTCCAAACTGTACATTGCAGCAGGTCTCACTATCATTTTGTAAACTGTTACGGATTCAAATATTGGGGATGGAGAAAGAGGAAAAACCACAATAACAACACTGGTCCGGCCGGGTTGATTCAAACGATGATTTTAATGATCACACGCGTGGGAGATGGACACCGTACGCAGACAGCATCAGATCTCAAAATGGTGGAGCATTGATCAAACTCTTATAGCCTCTAGTGGCCCCCACCTAATCATAAAAGCCTAAACAATCACATGCTTTCTCTCACACGGCGCCTAAGCTACGACCTTGGCTCCCTGTTTATCTGCTCCTGCTGAGATGGGGCAGAAAACTCCAGTATGTTCTGTTCTCTTCTAATCAGACAAATAAGGCGATGACTTTCTGCGAACAGTATTTCTTATAACTCAGCAGTATGTCCTTCTGTCACAAACCACCCCTGGCACTTGTCTCCAACCACTCCACCTTGCCTGCACTCTCTTCTTCATCTCTCTTGTGCCGCTGTTTATCGCTTTGGATGGTTGACACCAGGTATTTAAACAAATACAGTTCGATCAATACTTTTCTAAAGGTAGTCCAGATAAAATGTCAGCTGAGTATTGAACTCTGATGGTTGTTTTTACTGTACACTACAGTATTCAGAGAGGAGCGTTTGCATAAACTGTTTATTTTATTATAGCTGTTTATAGATGGAGTTAATGTTGTTTTTTTAACTTACCATAATGCACTGGTGCAGTCAGAAGCGCTGTAATGTTGACAGTCAGCTGCATATATGTTGCACATCCAGGCTCTGCTGTTTGAATGGAGAAAACAGATTGTCCACCAGGCTCTGGGATCACGTGTGGGTGGAGCATGTATGAGTATCTGTGCATCTGCTTGACATAGTAATCCTGCTGCCTTTGTTTTCCTCACATATAAGCTACAAAATGACCCATCTGAAAAACTGCTGGCTCAGCTTAGAACTGTGTGCCCCTCAGCCCCTCCCCGGTGCATATGGGTAGCGTGTGTTTGTGTGTGTGTGTGTGTGCGTGTGTGTGAGTGAGTATCATTTTCTCTAGCTCTGGCATGAACAGGAAGAGGAGAGGAGTGTTTTTTCTGTCATATATGGGAGTGGTGTACAAGTGGGACAAGTCCTACTGTTCTTGCCTGCTTGCTGCCAAAGCCTTCTGGAAATAGAGGGAGTATGAACCTGGACTCTATGAAATAAAGCTGCCTCTTATCACTTGAGTGACAAATCACATGCTTGGATAGAAGTGAGGAATTTAGTTTTTATTGCCCATGTTCCGGACCCTTTATTTTTCTGGGACAAGTAGACATGACTGCTGGATCTGTTTATGTGAGCCTGACGTCACTGTGTTATTGACTGGGAGCTTCAAACGTATTATTGTTCTCAAACAAATGCGTGGTCGGAGTGGCACACAGCAGACGATGGGTGTACTTCTGTCAGAGTAACGGGTAGGCTGCCACTGGATTGGAACTTAAGCTTCTCGTTTCAGCTCAGTCTGCTGCTGTCATGGTGGATAGAAAACATCTGTGACCTGCAGCACGTTGGATTCTAAGGAGTCGTGCCCGAAGAGAAAATATGTGATGTACAGTGTGTGGGAAGAGTACCCCAACAGACTTGCGCCAGAGTAAAGTATGCAGCTGCAGAAAGCCGCATGGAGGGACAGCTTTGTTTGAGGAAGAACCTGGGACCAGGCTTGAGTTTGAATACTGACTTTGTCTGGATTTTATCTTGGTCACTTGACTTAATTTATACGATATTATGTTTGTGTTTTAAGCCCTAACATAGGAGTTTCGTGTCTTCCAAAGTTAGTCACTCGCTGTCGTCTGGTATTGCAAAATCAGTTCCTTTTGTGGTTTTTCTGTCTCGTGCCTGCATCCTGTTTGTGGTATGACAGAGGCTTAATAGCAAATGTGATGTGATTGAAAGCACACTTTATTACTGACTGGCAGCACTGGGATCAAGGTTCATGTTGTGCCACAGAGTCAGGAGGAGGTAATTTTTCAGTCTGGCAAAAAATGTAATATCACTCTTCTGTGTGACTTTTGTTCCAAAACAAGCAACTGATTCTCAAAGAACTACAAGTGCAGAACCTCAAGAGCATCTGTGATCATTTTAAAAGGGGTCTGCTCTCCAGAGTCCTTTTGATCTCCGGGATATTTCCGGATCTGTAAGGATTTCATCCGGATCCACTTGTGACTTGGTTTCTGTTGTTTGCATCAGGTCTGTGTGGAATGTCTGGCCATCTGTATCTCCAGATGTGTATTGATGCTGGAACGAGACCAGCATACTGTGACTGGGACACACATGTACACTTGGTCCTTGGAAGTAAGGGATGTTAATACCGTCACACAGCTGATGAATCCAGACTGACAAATGGAGAGTTCGCACACACAGGCAGCTGGTTTCCGTGAAGATCAGTCGCATATCGAGAGCCCTGTAGTGACTTCATCCTTTGCCTTACAGCTAGAACTAGAATGCATTGGTAGGCGGATACCCCTTTGTGTGACTCACATAAATAAGGGGTGTATGAGAACATTCACAATTAAGTCTTGTCTTCCAGATGGAGGAGGCAGTTATGACGTAGTTAACAACGCTGTGATCTCAACACCTGGCCCACAAAACTACAGATCCCAAAATGTGTCCTTGCGACAAAGCTGGGAGATGAACTACCAAGAGGCAGCCATCTACCTGCAGGTATTTACAACCAGAGCATTGCTGCATTTATTAGTGTATGCACTCATTCACATGATCACATTATAGTTTTATTATACCTTCTACACTGTATTAGTTAAAGATAGTTAGACCTTGTCCTCTCCCTGTGAGCTATATTTACATCCTGAAAAGCTGCAGGATGTTATAAATCTATAAACATGCAAAACTGTGCAAAATAAAATACAAAGGCAGTGTTGATGTACATGAAAGGAACTTTTTGCCAAAAATGGGGTTTTTGTCTTGTTGCTGATACAAAAACATAACCTCATAAGGTTTTGTAACTGTATTTTAAAAAGCCACAATTGGTGTAAAAATTCTACCCAACTGATTTTATTGGTTGATTATTGGCAGATTTGTTGATTTATACACAGCGTTTATGCAAAAATCTGACTTTTATAATGGTATCGACACATTCAACAGAATGTAGATTATTGATTTGTAAAACCTTTGAACTGATACGATGGAGATGCCAAGTTGGCCAGTACTGGTCGGTTTGCTTTTAATTTTCTTTTTAGGGAAAGAAGCAATCTTTATTACAAATAAATTCCTGTTTTAAAGTCTCTCTCTTTCTCACTATATGTTTGAATATCCAACCAGTGCAAAATTAATGTCAAAGAACAAACTCATAAACACTGATAAATCAGACAAGAAAGCTGCTGTCAATCAATATTTATCTGTGTGTCTCTTATCAATGTCTGAATGTTTTACTTTCTAAAATTGGCAGTGGCTCCTAGATTTGGTTGGCCTGTTTTAAATCATTGGAAGAGCTGCAAAGTACAAATAACCGTAAGCACACTTGTGCATTTGTATGCCTTTGAGAAGTTCTTTTTACATCGTTGGTCTGAATGTTGAGTTCTGCTCAGTTTAAATTAAGTGCAGAAAAACATTTTCTGTTATGTCTCCCGTGGAAGAAAAAAATTGAAAAACCAATTAAAAAAACAAAACACTCTGGGAATTAAAGCTGTTTAAAAAATTAGAAACGTTCATATCCATCCATCCATCACTTTTGCCAACTTGTATGCACAAATGTGTAACTTTTACATTTTCTGTGTAGGAAGGAGAGAACAATGATAAGTTCTTCACTCACCCTCGAAACCCAAAGGCACTTGCGGCGTACCTGTTTGCGCACAACCACCTGTTCTACATGATGGAGCTGCTGACAGGCCTGCTGCTGCTGATGCTCTCACTGTGCGAGGCTCCTGCTGTACCCTCACTGCGCCTGGATGTCTATGTGAGTGAATCTCTACTCGCTAACATACTAATATGAACTAATAACACAACTTTACCTTACAGTCGCAGGCCACTTTCTAATTTACATCTTGGTAACACTGGGTTGGACCCTTTTCCTCTTCAGAACTGTACTAATTCTGCAGATTCATCAAGGTGCAGGAAAAATTGCTCATAGACATGATAGAATCACACGGTTGCTGCAGATTTGTTGGCTGCACATCCGTGATGAGAATCTCCAGTTCATCCCAAAGGGGCTCTGATTGAAATCTGGTGACTGTGGAGGCCATTTGAGGACAGTGAATTCTCTGTCTCAGTTTGAGATTAGTTTTGTGACATGGTGTGTTGTCCTGCTAGAAGCAGCCATCAGAAGATGGGCACAATGTGGTCATAAAGCCATCCAAATGATTAGCAACAATTTGGTTTGTTTAAAGGATGCTCCGTTGGTACTAAGGGGCCCAAAGTGTGCCTAGAAAATATCTCTCATTACACCACTAGCATCATGAATCATAACCCCAAAACAGGAGGGATCCATGCTTTCATGTTGTGTACACCAGTTCTACCAGCAGGTTCCCTTGACATGCCTAAACACCATGTGATATGTCATGTGATTGGCTCATTAAAGACTTGTGTTGATGTGCAGTTTAATAGGTGTACCTAACAAAATGACTAATGAGTGGCTAGTTTCCTTTATAACTTGTGTATTTGATGTCATTCAGGTCCACGCCACGCTGGAGCTGCTGGCTTTGGTTATGGTGGCATTTGAGCTATGCATGAAACTCCGCTGGTTAGGCTTCCACACCTTCATACGGCACAAGAGGACAATGGTTAAGGTAACTGTTACATGTTAATAATTTCATAATTATTGTGCGTGTGTGTGTGTGGCAGTCGGGTTGCTGTTACATTGTGTGGATCTCAGTTACGGTCAGAGGTCATGTTTTCTAAAAAACCTCGTGAATATGATAACTCAAAAAGAAAGTCAACTGGGTTTTTCAAATTCATACCATAGTTGTATCTACTAATAATCTCAGATGACTTCAAATGAGGGAATGTACAAAAAAATGGGAAAACAGAGGGACAGATATGTTTGCTTCTGGGGAAAAGACACACACACACGCACACACACACACACACACACGAACTGAGCACAACAAAAAGCGAGGACCCAAGAGGGAAAAACATTTGCAGCACTTAATTTTTTTCTATCAGTTACCATCGCGTATAAAACATCGGGACAGGACCACACGCTAATTAACATGTAACACACCACACACACACAAGCATAAATGTGAGCAACGACGTTGACCACTTACGTAGGTGATACAAAGATTCCCAACAGACGTCTAAATTAGGGATTAGTCTGAAGAAAGGCGATTAAACTTTGCTATCTGCAGATCTGATGTTATAGTTTGGGATTCAGCTTTCATTATCCTACACTGTACATGTTGTCTTCTCTCTTTGCACAGACGTGTGTGTTACTGGTACAGTTTGTGGAGGCCATAGTGGTTCTGATCCGACAAACTTCTCACATGCGAGTGACCAGAGCGCTCAGACCAATATTCCTGGTGGACTGTAGATATTGTGGTGCTGTGCGCAGGTAAATAATGACCTACACACTCACACACACACACACAGATTCAGTCTGGCCCAAGACATTGCCACAAAATAGACATTACATTTTTGATTGAGCACACATTTGACTTGCATACTGGAAAATACTAGCGGGAACAGAGAGACTAGTCGTCCCCGCCCGGGCTCCAAGCAAAAGTCTTGTCATATGAAAGAAAACGGTGACTCAACTCTGTAGGTTTGTAAAGCCAGACAAAATTAAACAAACTCAGTGAGATTTCAGCTCCATCTATCTTACTAACAAATGTTTCTGAGAAGTTCTTTTGTTTTCTATTGTGGCCACCCACAAGGCAGTTGTCACTGACGAGGTTTCTTTCATCCAATCAGAAACTTGCGTCAGATCTTCCAGTCTCTCCCGCCTTTTATTGACATCCTCCTGCTGCTGCTTTTCTTCATGGTTATATTTGCTATTCTTGGTAAGAGTGCATAAAGAAACACTTTGATTATTTTCTGTCCTCTATTTGTTAAACTTGTTTATTCAAGCAGAGGAAACGCTGTTTTTGTTAATGTTTGTATTTGATTAGCTCTTTGTGTCCTCCAGGCTTCTGTCTCTTCTCCACGAACACCTCTGATCCGGTATGTTGAGTCTTCCATCTCACTTACAAGAGTTTGTTTGAGTTATGTCATTTCAGGGATTTGGGTGGTTCTTCTCTTTGTGCCAGTTTTGTGTCTGGTCATATTTCCTGTCTTGAACCCTATCCTCTCACCACAGTACTTCAACACTATGGAGAACAGCCTTGTCAGCCTGTTTGTGCTGCTGACCACAGCAAAGTAAGCACGGCAATACACGTACTACTGCCGCTTGGTTATCTTTACACATGGGGCATGTAAGCAGTGCTCACCACGTTTAGAGCTTCTCATAAATCCTTTTACCACTTTTGCTTAATCTGCTTCCACAGTTTTTTGGGTTTTTTTGCATCTTATGACTCGGTCTGCATCTGATGACATCTCTCTTTCACTTTTGTAGTTTCCCTGATGTGATGATGCCAGCATACTCCAAGAACCGCTGGTCCTGTGTTTTCTTCATTGTATACCTCTCTATCGAGCTCTACTTTATCATGAACCTGGTAGAAGAAGCTTGTTTTTTTTCACAATTTCTGAGATGTCTTTGAGTCCTATTGAAAATACACACGGCTTGAAGTTTTCCCAGTTACTCATCATCGCTGTCTGTGCCCCCCTCTCCAGCTCCTGGCGGTCGTGTTTGATACATTTAATGATGTTGAGAAAATGAAGTTTAAATCTCTCTTGCTTCACAAACGCTCTGCTATCGACCATGCCTTTCAGCTGTTAGTTAGCCGTCAGGTAGGCCTGTTTTTTTTGTTTTTTTTATTATTATTATTATTATTTGTAACATGTCTTTCCTTTTTCTTTAACACTGTCAGGTGTTTTCTTAAGCTTTTCTTATGTTTCTCTGTGTTACACAGAGACCGATGGGTGTGTCTCTGAAGCAGTTCGATGGTCTGATGCGTTTTTACAGACCACGCATGTCTGCAAGAGACCGATTCCTCACTTACAAAGCTCTTAACACATCAGGGGCTCCCATGCTCAGGTAACTGTCTCTCTTCCACTTCTCAGAATGAAAATCCTTTTACATTGATTTGCTTTGTCACTGATTTAATGGTGGTGTGTTCTGTTGCAGCCTGCAGGACTTTTATAAGTTCTATGAGGTCACTGGCCTTAAATGGAAGGTAATTAGCCTGACATTTCTGCTGTGTAGCTGCTCTATTTTTGTGCTCCTCTGGTTGATTCAAATATACATTTACTGTCAATCTGTGTGTTGTTTAGGCACGTCGCAGTGGAGAACACTGGTTTGATGATCTTCCACACACAGCCTTCCTCATTTTCAAAGGAAAGTTCTCTTTCTCTCTTTTCTTCTGTTGTCAGGCAAAATAAGATTGGCTCTTGATCCCTTATTGTGGATACTTTCCTCTCCAATTTATTAGGTATCCATTTGCTTGTGAAGTCAAAGGCCTTTCAGTATACTATGTGTAAGTGTAATCATTGATCTTCTCCCAGCTGCTATCAGTGATACTGATCAAAGTCTCTTATCAAAGTTTTTTTGTGACTGTAGATGTGGTGGTGGCCATCAACGGTGTTTGGATCCTTGTGGAGACGTACCAGCTGAATAGTAAGATCTTTAACCGTAATCTGCAGTACTGTGCAAAAGTCACGAACCCCTCATATCTTGATATTTTGCCTTAAAGGAGCCAGACTTTCTTGTCATTTTAAATTGGTTTTGAGCAATAGTTCTCCATTCTTTCTGGAGGTCTTTAAAAGTTTTTCTTTCGACATTGGCTGCTTTTTTACTTAGGCCAGTCCTCATCCCTGACTGTTTTCAGTGGAATGTTTTTGTTGTTTGATAAACCGCTTAACTCTGACCTATGACTCATTCAATGATAAAAAAGGCCCCTAACTCAAGGGATGAACCAGTGTTGTGTCTACACATAAAAGACAACTAAGCAGAAAAATAATAATTATTAATATTCTATCTTTAGGCATATTATTACTAGCACCCTGATGTAGAAAGGGATAACTTGTTTCCATTTCTATAGTTGAATCTATGAAAAACAGCACAAATGAACAACATCTGAAAGTCATGTCCTTAAGAAATTGAAAGAAATTCAGCAAAGACCTGATGCAGGACCCCGAGAGATGCATCTGGCCGTTCAGTCGATCCATCTACTAAAGGTCTCAGTGGAAGGGTGGCTGTCAAGAAGCCATTCTTGAGGAAGGGAAATGGGAAGAAAACGCTGAGGTTTGCCAAATTACACAAGAACTGGACTGAATCAGTGGAAAATGTGTCTGATAGATTGAAGAACACAAATTTGACATTTTTGGTCAAATCATTGTCAGTATGTACAGAGGAAGTCAGAAAAGAAGTACAACAGTGAGTGTCTACAGCCATTTGTAAAACATGTTGGAGACTCTCTCATTGTTTGGGGCTCCATTTCAGCCGGTGGTGTTGGGGCTGTTGACAGGATTGTGAATGCAGAAAAGTACTGCCAGATTTGGATTCATCATGCAGTATATTCTGCAAAACGTCTAACTGACAACAGCTTAATTATTTAGCATGACAATGAACTCAAACACATTGGCAATGTGTTTAATCTACCTAGGTAGGTTAGCTTCCCCAGAACCTGGACCTCAACATTATTGAAGCAGTGTGGGATCATCTAGATGGAGAGCAGAACTAAAAGGGAGCCAACATCCAAAGAAGAGCTTTGAATGTCAGTATTCCTGAAGACCTATGCCTATGAGAGTTCAGGCTGTGCTGAAGAATAAAGGTGGTCATACCAAATATTGAATTTCAAGCTCTTTATAATTGTATAAACTCAGTTTTTGCTTTATACACGTATGTTTACATGTGTTCCAGTGAATAACTGCGCTTAATTTCCTGGCAATATATTTAAAAAAATGCCCCAAGACTTTTGCACAGTACTTGCACAGTACTAAGGCATGTGTTCCAATACTCCAGGTGTTTTACCTTCCTCTCCTCTTGCAGGTGGATTTTCCTGGTCCAAATTGGTTCCCTGGAGTTACATTGTTTTTCTGACCAGTAAGTAGGCTGCATGGCACCCTCCCCACCCAAACCCTGCACCCCACATAGAAAGTCCAGATAGTATTAAAATGTCATAAGGTGTCGAGGATTAATTACAGTCGTTTACACTGTGTGTCTGTCCTTCCACTTTCAGTTTATGGTGTAGAAGTGTTATTGAAAATATCAGGTTTGGGGCCAGTTGCCTATTTCAGCTCTGGGTGGAATCTGTGAGTAACACACATTGAAAACACAAATCTGTGCTGCATCCAAAACTCAAACTGTGCACTCTGTTAAACACAAACAATGTCTAAATCAACAGACTCCATTTGAGTGTGGAAATTTTAGGAATCTTTAATAATTAAACGTGACATGTTGTTTTTCAGTAGGCCTACTTATATTTAAAAGAAAATCACAGAAATACCTCTGAGCTGATATGAAACCCTGTTTCTCTGCTTTTGCTGGTAATCCTCATTGTGCTCTTCCGTCCAGGTTTGACTTCTCTGTGACGGTTTTTGCCTTCTTGGGCCTCATTGCTCTTGCCTTCGATAAGGAGCCGTTCTACTTTATTGTAATTCTCAGACCGCTTCAGCTGCTAAGGTATGATTTTCAATCTCCTTTAACGTGACAGCATATATGCACATAATGGCAATAGTAATTAATTTTACATTCAAATTTCTGTGTGTTGCCTTTTGCAGGTTATTTAAGATAAAGCAGAGGTATCGTAATGTTTTAGACACCATGTTTGAGCTCTTCCCCAGGATGGCCAGTCTAGGGTTGACATTAATCATCTTCTACTATTCCTTTGCTATTGTGGGAATGGAGTTCTTTGCAGATGTGGTTTACCCCAACTGCTGCAAGTGAGTAGTCGTGTCATGAGACGCAAATGGAAAAAGTGGGTCTCTCCATTGGCGATTCATTACTTCATTAATTTATTCTTCCTTTTTTCTCTCCCTCTCAGTACGAGCACAGTGGCCGATTCCTACAGACTGATCAACAACACACAAGGCAACAAAACAGTGCTGGAAGAGGGCTACTATTATCTCAATAACTTCAACAACATCCTCAGTAGCTTTGGTAATAATCCCTTTTTCCTTTTTGTCAAAATTCTGTCTTTGTATATTATCTACATCTGTTGTGTGTTCATGTGCGTTATGTTTTCTAGAATTTTAAAAACATTTACTCATTTTTTGTTTATCTCCAGTGACTCTGTTTGAACTGACCGTGGTCAACAACTGGTACATCACTATGGTGAGATTATCTGTGGTTCAAAATCTGTTGCCACTCGGCAGCCTGAGCACAGATCGTCGGGTGTCTGACTGCTTTTTGCTCTTTCACAGGAAGGAGTGACGTCTATGACGAGCCACTGGAGCCGTCTGTACTTCATGACTTTTTATATAGTTACAATGGTGAGTAGGAATGCGAACAGAGGAACAAAACAAAACTCAGAGGTTTTGCATATCTGAGACAAATTGAAGCCTTTTTTTTTTCCTTTTTCAATGTTTCTATCCTGCCCTGAGGAGCCTGTGTAGTCTTACTTTAATGTTGTCCTCTGCATAATCTACTGAAGAATCAGTGTGTGGGAATGTAACCATATTGCATACAATGTTTTGTCTGTGCAGGTGGTGATGACCATTATCGTGGCGTTCATTTTAGATGCATTTGTGTTCCGCATGAACTACAGTCGCAAGAACCGGGAACCGCTAGAAAATCCAGAGGGTGGGTTTGAGTGTGTGTGAGATTGTATGCAGGTTAAGAGTTGTTAGCCAGGATCTAAATTAAATGTGTTTGTACACGCTGTAGATGAGAATGGGATCGTGTTTGAAGTAGAGGTGAGTCGTGATGACGTTCTCGCCGCTCTCGAGCTGTACAAACAGATGTGCCCAGGATCGTCTTCCCTCAGCTCTCTCCAGGGAGTCTTACAGACTATGGACAAAAGTGGGGTAAGAACACACGCAAACAGCAAGAAGTCGTCTTCTTCTGCTCTTTAAGTCCCTCTAATTAATTTTTACTCCTGATTTGTTGTGCGCAGCACTCGTCTTTAGTGTACCTAGGTCGCAGGTCTAGGACGAAGAGCGACCTCAGCATGAAAATGTACGAGGAGGAGATACAGGTAAGAAACTAAAGATGTAATCCTGAATACCATGTCAGGACTTGGACTATCATGATGTGTTGGTCTTTTCTGTGTTGTTTCTTAAGGAGTGGTATGCAGAATATTCGAGGGAAGCCCTGCCTGAACCAGACCAAAGCCTGGAGCGGGATCCAGACAGCCCCATGCCTGACTTGTCTCCCTTCCCAGAGCCTCAGCTCAACTCACAGACTGGACCTCACAGCATCAATTAATGCAAAGTTTGCTAGGGAAACATGCACATTGTCATTCCAACGTTTTCCTTTAAAGGCAAAATCAGGAAGCCTGGACTCCCATATTATGTGTGCATATACTGCTGTTGGCCTTTTGTGCCCTATGGTAAACCATGACGCATCTAAACCTGATGCCTTAGTTTAACGACTCCTCTGATCAGTATTAACACACCCACTGAGTTTTCCAAAGACCGAACTATATAAACACTTAATACTCCTTTTAGCTCAACTGAACAAATGACATTTTCCCTCAACTAATGTCTCAGCAGACTTATAATATTTTACTTTTATATAACTTCTTATTCTGTAATGTATTTGAGTTTATTTGAATAAACTGTTAGAACTTGTCAAACTGTGATGTTCATTGATGTTGCTGGATTATAACACTGCTGGCTGTAAAAATTACCTATTTACTCTATTTAGAGAAGTTAGAGGGGAAAAAAATGAAAGCACATACACCCCAAAAAAATTAAACCAAAATCATTTAATTACCCCAAAGCAGCATGCACAAGTCATTAACATTTAGATCAATAATTAATGGAGACAATTCAGTGTTTCAAATTACAAAAGGCACAGTGTGAGTCGTTTCAGTCCTCCCTGAGCAGACTTTGCTCGCCTGATTTCATTATCCAACCACAGGAACTCTGTGGGTAGTAGTCAAGTGGAACAAAGGTTACAGCTGATTCTTGTAAAAAAAAAAAAAATAGTGCATAAATAGTTGTAGTTTTTTTTCAGACCGGCCGCAGCATCAGGTCTACGTAACACGAATCTTGCCAAACTCTGTAAGAAGTGCAATGATAAGGAAGATGACATAGAAAATGAGGAGAAAGATGCCATAGGCCCGACCCAAGTGGAAGCGGCACAGTGGAACGATGACAAAGGACAGGACCAAAGACAAACCCAGAGATCCTGCAAGAATCCATGTCAGCAAACCTTCTGGTTCAACCTGAGAAGGAACAAGAACAAAGGCTTATTATCTTCATAGTGTCTGAAACAGGCTCGTGTAGCTTGGGTTAGATTACGCTGCATCTTAGAGGAAATTACCTGCACGTCGGCATGTGTTTGGAGCATTTGCACCAGACATCCTAAACCCACTCCAAACAACATGTCTGAAGGAAGTAAGAGTCAAGGATACTAAAAGCCTCTTTTATACATGCATGATAGGTGTTGTTTTACAGAGAGTCACAAAAACAAGGATACTGAAAATGATGCCTCCAAAGCAGGCAGATATAGCCATCCGTGGGTAACCCTGCCGAGCGATGGTGATGTCAGAAAAGCAGTCTGAAAATAAGAGACAATTTTTTTTTTAAACAACTAAAGTTACATATAGTATGTTTTTGGAGAAAAATACTGAATGAAGTTTTTAAGCATTACCTCCAATGCTGTTTCCCCAGGCCAACAGAGTCAATCCCAGCACAGTGTTGCTCAGACGCAGCACAACCCCGAGCATGTGCAGAAGACTGACTACTTCAGAGGCCGCCGCACTGATCAACACTGCACTCACCACAAACCCCAAAAGAGCAAAGAACTGGGAGGGGAGGGGAAGGACAAGAAATTTACAAACAAGTATCATCATAGCATAAATGTAAAGACCTGTGATGTAGCTTTAATCTTGAATCAATATGAGAAACTCAAATATTTTAAGCCACCTTAGAAGCTTGATGGCAGTGTTGCTAAAACAAAACCAGCAGTTACCGGATATCCATCAGCCTCAGCTGTACTTAATTTGTGTTAATTAGCAGGCAGGTGCAGAGGGGGGGGGGCTAGAGGGGCTTGAAACTGATATGTGCCAACTACTGCACCACTGTCCCACTTGGCTACAGTATTACAAAAAGGAGTAATCATCATCATCATCACACTTAGTCCACACACACACACACACGCACTTACTGAGTGATATCTTGGAGGACAGTCATTGCTGGTTGAGCAGAAGACAATAGCAGAAACAAAAAGTCCCAGCAGGAGAAACAGCAGCCAGAGGGGAAACTGCCCTTGGATCATATAATTTCCATCTGATAAATTAAAAAGAAAATAATTTAATCATATGCTTATTTTGATTAAGACTAGGACTTCAAGCTGCTTCTGTTGTAAAATGTTAAGCACTTACATGCTCCAGACTGGAAGACAAGCACACACACCAGAGGAGCAGTGATCAGGTGGAGGCAGTTTAGGGGGCGTCTCCAGTTTCTGTCTTCTTTGTCAGGGTCAACCACAGGGATACAGAGCAGCAGCAGCACTTCCAGAGGAGTCTGATGGGTTCAGACCAAGAACCACAGAATAATTTACTTTAATTTACATTGAAAGACAAGTTTTGACTGGATTTCACTTAAGTCTGTGAACCAGTACCTTGAATACTTTAAGGACTTTCCACTTCCATGATTTCCTCCTCCACCTACGGTTGTCGACTGGATTCAAAGAGCTCAGCAGGATCTGACTTGTAGACTCAGAGTAGGGCAGAAGTGGTCGATACTCTGACTCTGCAACACACAGGTGTAAATTATGATCTGTCACTCAGGAATGTGCTGCAGTAAATTTACTTTTGGGTTTATTTTTTGTTTGTTTTTTGTTTTTTTAAATGGAGGCTGCTGCATTCCTACCATACTCCTGATGAATACTCCTGCCTGTCAGACAGGGAACGTCATCATCTGATGAGTCAGACGAATGAAAGTCTGCTTCAAAGAAAAACAAAAACAAAAAAACAACATCACTTGGAACTGTGTGGTTTTTATTTGTCTGTGTGTAAGAGTGTGTGTTTATATATCCAACCTGGAACATGTGTAACATTCTGGACACTCGTGTTGTCAGAATACTTTTGCCGGTTGTAAATGAACGCACTGATGATAACAATCACGACGTACAGGACGTAGAGGCCAAGGTACCCTAGAAAAAAGAAAGAAAGATATTATAGTAAAGACATGTAGGGATGATGAACATTACACACAAGCAAGCACACACACAGAGACATGTTTTCCAACTAATTAAACCTAGTCAAGACTAGTTTTAATTAACCTCTTCTTTTTGGCCCTGTGGGTTTCACACCTAAGCTGTAAAAACCAGACCAACGACATAGCCGCTGATCTGGCTCACGATCAATCACATTTCACAGGATATTGCAATTTGTGAAGAGCAGAAAGAAGGTGTTAAGTTTACTTGTCATTAGTGGTAAAAACTAATGAGGACTAAAGGCTCACACACAGTCGTATTCAGGACAAATTAATCAAATTTACCACCATGCCATGTTTGAGATCAGGAGTATTATGACTACAGATGACTAATGATCACGTGTTTAATTACGCTAAGATGTTTGTGTGGTTCTCGTAAGAAACAAAAGTCATTTTTCTAACAGCCCACTGACTGACACTCAGACAAAAGTCAGAAGCAGAATAACAAAAGTGAAAATGAATGAGCTGTCGAGTCTAGTCAGGATTCACTGATGGCAAATTAGAACAAATGTAAAGATTTAAAATTATAATATTTGTTCAAAATTCAATGAGAAGCTTTCTAAAACCGGACCAACAAAGAAAAATCGAGAGGTCAAATAGGATGCATAATTAATGCAAGACCATGTGTGCGTGTGTCGCTGTATACCCAGTGTTTCTCCCAGCGTCACAGTTCCTCTGTACAATATGAGGAAAGTCCAAAACACTGCAACCATGTAGAAGATGACATCGCGCAGAAATGGACGAGAAGCTACAGCAAAAGGCTTGACCAGCGCCACGCTGCCAGCAACTACTGTAGTAACAAATATCCCGGCTCCTGGAAAGGCAAACAGGCTGTCACATCTCAAGGCGTTTTTAAAATTTATTTACATATCGGTGTGAGCGTGCGCGAGTCTGTGCCTACCAAATAAGGCTCCGACAGCCAACCCCGCTGTGTGCGGGTGGGAAAATGCTGCAATGGCACTGAAGATGTCAGGAGCTCCATTACCAAGAGCCAGAAATGTCACACCCTGATCACAGGCAGCAGTCAAGGAAAATATTCTTCTCAGAAACTATAATATAAACAGTGTGCAAAAGTTTTGAGCCTCCCCTTATTTCTTTATTTTTTGGCTTCCAAGGAGCCAGACTTTCTCGTAATCTGGTTTTGAGCAATAGCTCTCCAGACTTTTTGAAGGCATTTCTAAGTATTTCTTTGAACATTTGCTGCTTTTACACTCATTTTCAGTCCAGTTCTTGTACTGATACTTTTCAGTAGAGTGAGTGTTTTTTGTGATATTGATAGAAAAAAAAAAAAAAAAAAAAAAAAAATTGGTTTCCACTGTGTGTAAAAGTATTCATGGCGTCAACATTATTAGAGCAGTGTAGAATTGCACAAACTCAGTTATTTCTCATCTTCTAGTCTGTATTTCCATACATTTCAATAAATAGCTGCACACTTCCAAAGAAGTGAAAAAGAAACAAAAAAAAGGTAGATCAATAATTTTGCCCAGTACTGTATATTCTAATATTTAACAGTCTAAGAGGTCAAACAGAAACTTCAGACTGCAGCCCATGGGTAGTGTTCAGGCGATGGAGAGAAAGGATACGGCCACATTGTGGGTGAGGCGCAGACTGGAGGAGATGGCAGACAGGTTGGGACAGAAGCTGGAGAGAGGGGGAAAAATAAATACAATTCAATAATCTTATTGAGAAAACAAAATAATTTAATACCTCAATTTACAAAAAAGCTATGTCTCAATAGATACTTTTCACTGAACACACAACAGCTTCTTTGCAGTAGTGTGTAAAGTGAAGTGGGTAGGTTTAAAAATAAATAAATAAATAAATAAATAAAAAACAGAAGCAACAGTTCTTTCTTTGAGGAAATCTCACAATCTTGCAACAAAAGTGAAACAATAGTGAAAACTCCACTCATGTGACTTTTCTTTGCACGACCATTTCGCTGAAACCATGATGTGTGTGTGTGTGTGTGTTGAATAACACCAGCAACACTTACAACTTAGAGGCAGTAAGTCCCAGAATAATAAACAAAAAGAAGAGCCATATAATCTGTGGAGAAGCAGAAAAAAAGACAGCAGTTGTTGGTTTGTGAGGTAAAAACTATTGTTTAAAGAAAAGAAAAAAAAAAAAAAAAAAAAAAAAAGGTGTGAGTGCCTTTACATTTACAAACATGACACTGACTACATTGGTCATATTGTCCCTGACCACAGATTTCTCTTTTAGGTTTCATTTGCAGATTCTCACTTACACTGTTTTTAACCAAACACTTCAGTTAATCCCATTTAAGACTTTGGGTATCTTGCAAACAGGGGAACTGGAAAATATCCACCATTATGAAAACACATTTAGCTAAAGCAAAAAGCTGATTGTTTTTCTAGTTCTGTTGGAGCAAAGTTTACTTCCTCATGTGAGT